TGAAAGTTTTGGTGGGAATCATGGTGCTGCTGTGTCTGCTCCCATTATTGGGACTTCATCTTCTTCAAATCATAATTTCGACGCCCAGATCTGTATGGAAGAATCTGAGGAAGCCATGAGCGTGGAGAAAAAAGCTGTGAAGCAATTAGTCCAACAGAGTCTGCAGTACAACATGAGGAAAATTGTGAAGAGGGCCAATTTGCCTCATGATTTTGTTCCTTCAGAGCATTTTAAATCGCTCACAGCAAGTTCAACTTCCAAAAGCCTACCGTTTTGACATATCATGGTAGATCTAAAGCTAGTGTTCATAGTGTTCATACAGAAGTCTTTCAAGTCTCTTGTTCTTCCAGCCTCCTCTGCTTCCAAATTCAACCAAACCCATGTCAAATGCTTTGAAGTATGATATCATCTTCCCTGGCGGTGGAGTAGTTGATTGTCCGATGCTGTGGTTGTTTTGGCAGGCATAACAAAAGGTCAGGACACTGCACTCGTACACACCAGTGGGTCATTTCGACCCACCAGTACAATTCAGCCTACACTCGGTGGCCCCTTTAAAACATGCTTTTATTTTGCTGATCTGTTGGAAGAAGAAGTGTCGGTCACTTTCACATGCCTTATAATATCATGAACAGTTTCAAACTTTTCATAGTATGATTTGCTAGAAATTTGATAAAAATCTGAGAAATGGAGCTGCGCCATTAATTTTTACACCACCCTCTTATAAATTGTCTGCCCCAACATGGTCCTATTGGTCCTGTTCTTTAATTGATATCATTTCTTATCCTGTTTCTGCTAACCGTGCACAGATCTGGAGCGGGAGAACTTGCTGAGCTGTTTTAGCAGAGGCATAATAATGACCAAGGCATGTCTTGAGCACGAGGTACTGTTCTTAAATATAGAATTCGGTGAATTCATTGTGTGCTATTAGGCTATGTTGAGTAGTTTAGTTATTTAATTAGAGTTGCAGTTCTTCTTGTCTTTTGCAATGCCTCTGTATATGTTTCATCTTATGGTCTGTAGATAACTTTAAATTATGTCAACCTCGTCGCCCCCAGGAACGGTTTCGGAACCTTGACCGTCTGTCTTTCAATAGTTGAGCCTATTGAGGTTGGAAAAAACCTTTCAACAAGCCTACCATAACGTGTCTGTCTCTTAATGACCATTAGATGTAATGTAATATCCCAAGCCCACCGCTAGCAGATATTGTCCGTTTTAGTCGATTACGTATTGTCATTAGCCTCACGATTTTAAAATGGGTCTATTATAGAGAGAGTCTAGCACTACTCTGGCCGGTGCACCGCACCCTCTCGTAATTAGCTCTGATACCATTTGTAACAGCCCAAGTCCAATACTAGCAAATATTGTCCTCTTTAGCCTGTTACGTATCCTCGTCAGCCTCACAATTTTAAAACGTGTCTACTAAGGAAATGGCTAATCCTCAATATTAATGGAGGGCTTTAGAAAGGGCACCGAGTCCTAGATGGGATGTGTATCATTGGAGAACCAAAGGGCTCCTTTTCAAGCACCTGCATTGCTTTTCGTCATTTCTCCTCATATTTGGCATCCGAGAACAATAAAGTTTTTCTTTCTGATTTTGATGACTCACCAACCAATGTGAATCATTTTTCAACGTACCGTTCTAATTGTTAAACACGGTACGAAGATTTTGTAGAACGAAAAGATTTTGCTTAACCTGATTTTAGGTTGATCAAGATTAACCCGACAAAAGTGATCTATAGCATTATGTACGACAAAAGCAAGTCTTTTCAACATGTTTTATTTTCAATCACACACGGGTTAATACATTTGCAGGAGGTCGCTCAATACAGTGTTTCTCCAAATAAAACACGCTTAATTTTAGAATTAAGCATTTTTTAGCTATCTTATATTCAAGATTACTCTCGTTCTAAAAGTACATACTTTTGATATTTATAAATAAAAAATACAAATTTTATTTATTTATTTATTTATTAAATTTTGCTTCTAGATGCATCACCATTACCACTTTGAAGGGTATGCAAGTAATTTGAGGAGAGTCTTCTCCTAGTTTCTCGGAATTAAGTGTAAAATAAATTAATAAATATAATATTTATGCGTCAATATTATTTGTTTTTAAAATTGCAATAATCGGCAAAAAGTTAATTTCTGGATTATTTTTAAAAAACTATATATTTTAATTTATAAAATACAACAAATATTATCTCGTTCCCGCCAGCTTTTTTTTTTTTAAATATAAAAAATAGATATATTTGCCATTTAAATTATGTATATTATTAAAATAACTTTAGAGGTTTTTACGAGATTTCTTTATATATATATATATATATATTTAACTATAATAGTTTTAAATTCAATTAAGATGAAATAAAATACTCAACTTTAGGTAGGTGTCCACGTGGATTTTGAAAAGGTTTAATTTCCTTTTAATAATTGAAATACTAAATTATATATGTATTTTAAATACAATTTAACCACAAATCTCGTTATAAAAATACTCATGAACTTTTTTTTTTTTTTTTTTATAAAAAATATCAATTAACTATACGTTGTAAACTATTTTCGGATGGGTTAGGTCACCAACATTACCAATCTAAAATTTATAAGTCAGATTATAAAATTTTATTATGCTTCATTGTCAAATATTAAAAAAAATAAAAAACAACAAACCACAAAAATCTCTCGATTCATTGACTCAGACCAAACACGCTTCCTTAAAATTAAAACCACAACCCGACAAAATATTAGATACAACTTATGTTTACTTTTTTTAATTAATAAATGTCAATCATATTAATACATGGTTAATGCAATTTATTTTATATTAATAAAAACAAAATATAAAAAGGTCAAACAATTGAATAATTATTGGCCACCCATTTATTTTATTCTCAAACATTTTTATTATTATATAATAATAAAATATATTTTTTTCTTCTTAATTTTTTTTTTTTTTTAATTTCAACCTTCCCCTGCGGAAATTATAAAATAAAATTCATCAATTTTAATATACCTTAAAATTAATTATTAATCCAAGTAAAATAAATTCATCAATTCTTTTTATTGCAATAAATGAGAGCCACAGAAAACTGTCATTATTTTAATTTTTTTAAAAATTTAATAAATAGTTAATTTTAAATGACTACAACTATCGACATTTAAATAATAAGATTAAAATTAAAAATAATATATATATATATATATTTATTTATTTTAAATTGGGAATTCAAAATTTAAATACTAATATTAAATTAAGTCAGAGAGCGTGAAGCGTCGATAGTGGAGAAGAGAAGGTTTTTATTTATTTATTTATTTATTTTTAAATAATAATAATAATAAATAAATAAATAATATAAAGAAAATATTTCGAAACTCTGATATTTTTCCCTGTGTGTGTATCTGAGAAAGAAAACCCTAGCTCCTCTTCTCTCCCCGTTCTTCTCTTTCAAGTTTCCCTCGCTTTTCTATGTGATTTGGCCCCATTTCCATTCGATTCGGTGGGTTCCTTTACTTCCATGGACTTCAATTGAACTGAACCCTTCCGCGTTTCCAAGGATCTGGGAGCTTTACCTATAAACCGAGCAAACATGGCGTCTTCCGACAAGGATGTCGAAGAACAACTTTTGGAAGCTGGCAATAAGATTGTTGACCCTCCTACTTCCGTTGAACAACTTCTACCGCTTCTCGATGTAAGCCTTTCCCCTTTTTCTTCTTTCGCCCAGTTATTTTGGTTATTAATTTCGGAATTTTCTCCAATCAATGTGTTTTTTTCGACCTGGGTGAATGCTATTTTCGAATTTTCGTTCATTCTACCCTTTACGGTGATATTTGACGCTCGATTGATTTTCCCTTTACAATTTATCGTGCTCAGTTGTTTTTTGTATATTTAAATGTATTGCAAGTTCCTGACTTTTTACCACATTCGAGGGGCGCGCTTACGATAATGGCTTCTCTCGTTATAAACGCCACTTTGAATGAAATTGTAGAAATGAATCAGTTGTGCAGCTGGTCTTCGAATTTGAGCTTTGTAGTGTTTTTTTTCTTTTTTTGGTGGGTGGGGGCAGTGATGTAAAGTAAGTAAGGAAATTGTAATTGAAATTCGTTGTGTTGCTCATATGGTGCTAGTTTGTGGAAGAGGGCTTACATGTTGCTCAAAGCTCATTTAGGATAGTATTCCCAGTCATGGTTTCTTCATTTCTTGCTAATCGTGTAGTGATTATTGTTACTATTCTCCATTCGAGACGATGAAATTGGAAGCCACACCTTTCATGAGATTGTTCTAACCTAAAGTTTCTTTGTTCGCACAAATGAAATTGATTGAATTGGTTCTCAGATATAAATCTTTTTTTTTTTTCTTTTTTTATACATCTGAGGCTTTTGATTTGAAGCATTACTAGAAGGTAAGTTGAAGCACTTCTATTAAAGTTTACTGGAATACTATTGGATAGGGGGACATTTCTAATTTCTAATTTCTCATTGAGCTGGCAGCTGGCAGTAGTTAAGAGCATCAGTTTTGGTGGTTTGGGAGGTAAGGGAAATGTTTGAGAACTGTTAAGGAGGGAATTTATCAAGATTATATATCTTTTTCAAGACTTCCAGGAATGTGGATAAGGGGTCCTAACTTAATGAGGGTTCATGCTTTTAAAGCCAGTCAGGCTGTTCAGAATCTCTTAAGAGTAGAAGCTGTGACTTTTAAATCTTCTTATGACGTTGATTGTTTGAACTATACATTAGAAATGACTGATGAGGGATTTTTCCACCGTATTTCTTTTTCTTCTGCTAATTTATCACTCTCCCGCTTCTCTATCCTTGCTGCTGGTGAGAGAAAATATCATGAAACATTAGCTGCTAAATAGGCCTTCTTGGTCCTTGGTATTTAAAAGTGTTGTCTATGTTGATTTTAATTTTTGTGGTCATGATAGGTAGTGCTTGAATGTGTTTTTTCCCTTCACAATAACCTGCGTGATTGCAGAAAATTGAGAGTTTTCTGGCAAGGGTTGAACAATCCCCTTCAAAATCAATGCAAAGTGCACTCGCTCCATCACTGAAAGCACTGGTTTCTGATCAGCTTCTAAGGCATTCGGATATTGATGTCAAAGTTGCAGTTGCTGCATGCATTAGTGAAATAACCAGGATCACTGCACCTGATGCCCCTTACAATGATGAGCAAATGAAGGTAATTAGAATTTAGAAATTTGGTCTTTAAGTGGATACAATGTCAATTTCCTACTTATCAAATTTATTTCTAAAGAGTTGTTTTTTGCTTCTGTTCAGGAGGTATTTCATCTTATTGTATCGTCCTTTGAAAATCTCTCTGACAAGTCTAGTCGATCATATGCAAAGAGGGCATCCATACTTGAAACCGTAGCAAAGGTCAGATCGTGTGTGGTCATGCTGGATTTGGAATGTGATGGATTGATCATTGAGATGTTCCAACATTTCCTTAAGACAGTAAGGTATCATACTAGATTTATTTTTTAAATCATTTTCCTTTTAAATTTTCACTTATAATGATCCCAATTGTGATAGATATTCACTTTCCAACAAGTTAAGTTATTTCTTGAACAAATAGAATTTATTCCTCCATTAAATGCTACTAGACTCTGCACTTAATAAGAAGTTGACTGTTACCAGAGAACATGAATAAAAAACAGCAAAATAGTCTCCTGGCAAGCTAGCTTCGCTTCTGCAAGTTTGTGGGGTATTTGGCTGGAATTGAACCATAGAATTTTTAGATAGGTTGAGACATTGGGTGAGGAGGTGCGAGAGGTGGCTAGGTTCAAGGCTCCTCATTGGGCCTTGGTTGCCAAACCATTTTGTAATTATGATCTCAGTCCTTTTTTTCCGATTGGAGGCCCTTTTTGCAATTTGTTTTGTTCTCCTTTTGTCCAGGCTCGTTTTTGGCATGCCTTTCTGTTCTTTCATAACTGAAAATTTGGTTTCTTACCCAAAAAAGAGAGAAGAAGAAGAAGAAGAAGATTGTAGACTTGTTTCTCAGTATGTGAATCAATAAATTGATTGTGGATCTTAATTGCGTGAGGCCCAATAAAATAGCACATAGAAGACTTTCAAGCTTCACAAAAAACTTGATTACTAAGAATTTGAGGCAAGATCAATTGCAGAAAGCCATGGTCAGTCATTTG